ATAGCAAAAGAGAATGGGGTTTCTTTTTGAGGTTATGAAAATGTTCTACAATTGATTATGGTTATGGTTACACAACTCTATAAATATATATTAAAACCTGTGAAAGCCAGAAAAGTGGTAAGACTGTACCTTATCCAAGGTGAAAAACTTGCAAGACCAGAAAAAGACGGCAGTCCTGTCAAGTTCTGGCTCTCACAGTTTACACTGTACTAAAAACTATTTAAATATATACATTAAAAGGGTGAATTCTATGGTATGTGAATTATATCTCAATAAAGCTGCTGACAAAATACTTTAAGAGTTCGTCATGATTTTTATTAGAAGACCTGATACATGTAAGTAATCTATGTCTCTTTGGACACGTAACCTGGAAGGACCAATCCCTGAAGAAGGACATTATGCTTGGTAAAGTGAGGGTCAGCCAAAAAAAAAAAAAAGTGCTCAATGAGATGGACTGACACAGTGGCTGCAGCAAAGAGCTCAAACACACCTACTCCTGTGAGGATAGCACTGGATCTCGGCAATATTTTGTTCTGTTACACATGGGATCAGTACGTGTCAGAGTCAATTCGACAACAAAATATTTCTGTAGCACACCTCATTATAGACTCTCTGAAACTTGTATTAAAGCAAAACTCAGTTAACAACCTTATATTGATCGAATAAAGAGTCAAAAATAACAATTTATTTTATGATATAGAGAATAAATTACCACGTTTAGGTAAGGGTGGGTTGGTGACAGAGAATGCTCTCAAGACTAGTCAATCTTGCCTCCTGCTCTCCTCTGGAGGATCATTTACAATTTAGAGGTCATTTCTGCCCCTAAGCCTTCTCTGAACTCTCTGATAAGGCTAAATGCTCTCCTCAGAGTTTCCACTGGACCCTGCACACATCTCTGCTTTAGCATTTCCTTTTTCTCCTCCATTAAATGATGAAAACATGTACAGATTTCCCTTACTATCTAAAAGTGCTCCTATCAAATCTTTCATAAGCCTAAACGGTGTAAAGCGAAGAAATAAACACAAAATGCAACCACTGCTATGGAGTTGGATCCGACTCATGGTGACCCCTCCTTGGGTTTCTGAAGTGGTATCTCTATGGAAGTAGATTGCCCAACCTTCCTTCCGAGGAGTGGCTGGTTGGTTTTGAACCACTAGCCTTCTGGTTAGCAGTCAAATGCCTCAGGCATTACGCCACCAGAGCGCCTACAGTAAAGAAGTAATTACACTAATTTATATGGGAAAAATTTTAAGTGTTCCTAGACCCAAAGCAGGAGCTCTGGTAGCATAGTGGCTAAAGCACTTGACTGCTAACCAGAAGGCTGGCGGTTCAAACCCACCAGCCACTCCTCGGAAGGCAGGATGGGCAATCCTACTTCCGTAGTGATACTGCCTCGGAAACCCAAGGAGGGGTCGCTATGAGTCGGGCCGACTCGACGGCACATAACAACATAACAAGACCCAAAGCAAAAACAGGTACTAATATAGGTCTTTCATAAAAGTGAAGTGATGTAAAGTGAACTTTAGAAAAGTAGAGGCTATACACTTCTGTATCCCTAACACCTAGCAAAGTGACAAGACCAAAATGGCTCAGCAAAAATTTGTCAAGTTAAACTTGCAGTGTGAATTTACACCTGCCTGACTTTTGTTTGTCTGTTTGTTAGATTTTAATAGAAAATTGCCTCTGTTTCCTAATTATCAAATAGAATTTCACTATTTATCTGACTTAAGTCATAGGAATGATGTGAGAAACAAACTATTCAAAGAAGAACTTTGGGAAATAATGCAGTATATATATATGAGATACATATATATATACCTATATATATATACACACACACAGTGTTCTACTATGAAGTGCCTTATATAAAATATTAGTGATTATTTTATGAATTTTTCTATGTACCTTAATTTTGTTATGACATGTTATCAAGAGGGACCAATGAGTCCCTGAAGAAGGACATCAAGGTTGATAAAGCTGAAAGTCAGCAAAATAGAGGTTTTTGTTGTTGTTGTTATGTGCCTTCAAGTCGGACCTGACTCATAGCGACCCCGACCCCTCCTTAGGTTTCCGAGGCAGTATCACTATGGTAGTAGACTGCCCAAACTTCCTTCCGAGGAGTGGCTGGTGGGTTTGAAATGGACTGACACAGTGGTTACAACAATGAGCTCAAGCATACCTCCTATTGTGAGAATGGTGCAGGTCTGGGCAACGTTTTGTTGATATACATGGGGTCACTATGACTCAGAGCAGACTCAACAATACCTAACAACAATTTTGTTACAGGAACTTTTATCTTTGATACTTCAGGGTCTAATACGGCACAAGGTATAGGAATGTCTTAAACAAGAGCTAATGTGTAAATAATTTATCATAACATACCTTTCTGTCTACTACTACATGCATGTTTTTATTTCATTAGCAATTAATGTTAAAGTACTCAGGAAAGCAGCAAACAAAGAATGTAACTATTATATGGGTTACTTTACTGTCTATTTTCCTGTTTCTACGTTTTGAGATGACTCAGAACTACAAGCTAATGTTATATATATAATTATATATATGAATGCAAAAGAACAAAACAAGAAACCCATGACCTGAATGCTGCCACCACACCTCTTAAACACAGCACCTTCTGCTGCTAAAACCTTTTATGTATTCAAGAGCCCTACGTGCTCTTGACAGAAACCATACTCAAGCAGCTGAATTTAGAACATGCTGACCTTGAACAAATCAATGCCCTTAGCATGTACTTCTGGCTTATATCACTGCAGCAGCTAGACAGCCTCACCATCTATAGTAGTCAACAATTTCTGGCCACTGTACCCTGTCTATTTTAAGATATTCCTACTACATATCTGTGTAGATCAGTTCAAAGAGGCAGAGTAACACAGGAACCTGTATTTAAACACAAATCATTTACCCTTGGAATTTGAGGTATGTGTGTTCCTACTGTACTTTAGCTAGAAAATATTTAATTTGGTAAATTTCTTCTTCCTGCTTTCATTTTTAAAATACAATAATTTTTAACAAAGAGTGAAAGCCAAGCATAAGACATTTTGTTTACTGCCTAATCAGATTTATAAGTAGCCTAGTCATAAGCTAAGCTAGAATTGGCAAGGTTCCAAACATAAAATACAAATATTGAGAAAGAATAAAGGTTACCTGTCATTTTCATGCAAAATTACACTAGATACTAGAATAGTATGTAATTAAGGAGCATACTACCATTTTACTAATCTAAATATTTACTAATTCAAATCTAATTGACATAAAGTCTATTTTTCATTTTTTTACATAGGCAACATCAACCAAAATGCTAGCAGATTTTTATTTACAGTTAAGAAACTCCTTTTTTACTTTAAACACAGAACTATAATTTAGCATAGCAAATGTATAGATTCTGAAAGGTAAATTATTTACAGGGAATTTATATGTTGTGTTGTTGTTGTGTGCCGTCGAGTCGGCCCTGACTCCTAGCGACCCCTCCTTGGGTTTCCGAGGCAGTATCACTACGGAAGTAG